GCCTCCCAAAGTGCTGGGATTACAGGTGTGAGCCACTGCGTCCAGCCTGATTTTTGTATTTTTGATAGAGATGGATTTTTGTCATATTAGCCAGGCTGGTCTCAAACTCCTGACCTCAAGTGATCCGCCTCCCTCCCTCCCAAAGTGCTGGGATTACAGGTGTGAACCACCATGTCTGGCTTGGAAATTATTTTGAAATAATTATAGAGGAAGTTGCAAAAATAGCACATGAAATCTTGTGAACCTTCACTCAGTTTCCCCTAATGATGACATCTTATATAACTATAGCACAAAATCAAAACCAAAAAGTTGATATTGGTACAGTATTGTTAACTGGCCTGCAGGCCTTACTCAGTTTTCACCATTTTTTACATGCATTTATTTGTTTGTTTGTAGTTCTGTGCAGTTTTAAATCATGTATAGATTTGGATAATCACCACCATAATCAAGATACAAAACCCATTACCACAAAGGAACCCCCTTGTGTTATTCCTTTGTATTTGTCCCCACCCCCCTCCCTCCTTGTCCCCTGGCAACCAGTAATCTGCTCTTCATCTCTATAGTTTTGTCATTTTGAGAATGATATGCGAGTGGAATAATACAGTTTCAGCATTTTTTTGTTTGGAGACAGGGTTTCACTCTACCGCCCAGGCTGGAGTGCAGTGGCAAGATCATGGCTTACTGCAGCCTTGACCTCCTGGGCTCAAGCAATGCTCCCACCTAGCCTCCTGAGTAGCTGGGACCACAGATTTGACTAATTTTTGTATTTTTTGTAGAGATGGGGGTCTCCCTATGTTGCCCAGGCTGGTCTCCAACTCCTGGGCTCAAGTGATCCTCATGCCTTGGCTTCTCAAAGTGCTGGGATTACAGGCATAAGCCACTGTGCCCAGCTCAGCATTAGTTTTTAATTTAACTAATTCCTAAGTTCTTGACTGAAATACAAGAAGTTCTCTAACAGTTTATTTTAATATTGAGCTTACCCCATTCTCTGGATCCTTCTAGTTTCTTTTTTTTTCTTTTTTTCGGTGATGGAGTCTCCGTCACCCAGGCTGGAGTGCAGTGGTGCCATCTCAGCTCACTGCAACCTCCACCTCCCGGGTTCAAGTGATTCTTGTGCCTCAGTCTCCAGAGTAGCTGGGATTACAGGTATCCACCACCACACCCGGCTAATTTTTGTATTTTTAGTAGAGACAGGGTTTCACCATGTTGGCCAGGCTGGTCTTGAACTTCTGATCTCAGGTGATTCACCTGCTTCGGCCTCCCAAAGTGCTGGGATTACAGGCATGAGCCACCGTGCCCGGCCCCCTCTAGTTTCTTAATTTCCCTCTTCACCTACAATATTATCTTCCACTCCAACATTCTGGTCTCATTTCTCCTTGAGAGAAATCTACATGTCTAAATTTACTAGGCTGGTCTAGCGTGCTCTTGTGTGTTCCCCTCCCTCCCTTGACCCTCTATTTATAGCCAGGCTAATTTTGGGTGGCCTCTCTCTCTCTTCTTTCCTGATCTTTCCTCCTGTGGTGGTGAGGTGACTTCTCAAATATTTGGGCAGAGGAGGTCAGAAGCAGATTCTTGGCATCTGATTTCAGCCCTCGATCACAGAAGCCAGTGGAGTGGGAATAGAGGCAGGCAGAAGCTGCAGGTGCCGATAGGAGGCAGCTTGGGCTCTAAAGGCATTTTGAGCTGGGGTCGGGGAGGCCTGGGCAGGGAGTCAGTAGTCCCCGTTCTGTCCTGATTTTGCAATTCTGCATTCCCATGTCAGCTCTTCTCTACTGTCTGGGGCTCTGAGATATTAAAAAGAATGGGGAGGGCGTGGTGAAAGTAGAATCCTGGTGCCAGCCCTGCTGACAGCATATGTATTTCCTTATAGTACCTGTTTAGAGATGTGTTAGTGCTCTGGAGGGGATATCTACAGGTGTAGTATTGGAAAACAGAGGGCCAGATTTCCAAATGTCTGTTAACTTATCCAAGGCAAAGACTGTCCCAGGGCCAGCAGAGTGAGAATCCAGTTTTTTTTTTTTTTTTTTCAAAGAAATACAATCCTGAACAATGAAGTAGGAGAGACAAAGAGAACACAGGAAGAGGAAGGAGGTAGGACACATACTGGAACTTTTCAGAAAGGGAAGGAGAAGAGAGAATCATAAGAATATGATAGTGTTTGAGGGGCAGAGACAACATTAGAAACATTGAGAAATACTCTGAGAAAGATTCCAAGTGTGACAGAGACAAGAATGATGACAAAATAGAATTTGGGATGAGACAAAATCAGATAGTGAGAGAGAGAAGGGAAGATGGACAGATGTATATTCACAAGACCAACACCAGTAAGCAAGAGGAGTAGGAAGGGGAAGTGGGAGCAATCGAGGTTCCCATTATGCCAAATTATTTCCTGTCTCTCCTCCTGGCCCCATTTCTTTATCGGAGGAATAAATAGCAGAGAGTTGGAAAGTGTCCCACCACCCCCTTGCCTCTGTCCCGGCCTGATGGAAAGGGAGAGGAAGAGGGACAGGCCATTGGGTCCCTGTGGAGATCCCATCTCAGCCCCACCCAGGTCCTCCTGAGCCAGCCCACGACTCTGCCCCCTCCCATCCCCTTTCATGGATAGGAAATATGCAGTCCTGGGAAGGGTCTGGTAGCTGGGGACACCCTTTACATCCCTCTGCCTCTCGGGTCCAGTCTCTTTCATCTTTGCATTCTTTGACACCCCCTCCCCTCCCCACTGCTTAATTTCCTCTTCCTGTAATCATCCCCAGTCGTTTTCTTTTCTCTCTTCATTCCATCCCTTGTCAATTAACCTCTTGCCCTTCTTTCTTCCTCTCCATTCCTTCCTTTTTTCCATTTCTCCATTTGCTCCCCATATCTCCCGAGTTTTTCTCTCTCTTCTTGCCTCTTTTTCTCTGTTCCCTTGAATCCTGACGATGTGGCTAGCACTGCTGTGGTCATTACCGGGCTGGGGGCGGGGGATGGGATAGGATCGGGGAGGGCAGCGATCTGATCCCAACAGCAGAAAGAGTGCTCTATGTGACCATGGGGAACAGGGAGCACTAAGATGCCACGCTGGACCCAGGCCCAGGACCGCTCCCCTTACGTTTCCTCTCTCTCTGCAAATTTCTCTTCCCAGGTTGTCTTCTAGCGTCTTCCCACTTTTCATCTCTTACCCTCCTTCCTCTGTTTCCGCCCCTCTCTTTCTATCTGTGCTTCTCTCCCACCGCATTCCAAGGCGCCGCCTCCACCACTCCCGGGCTGGGGATGGGATCGGGGGGAGAAGGGGAGGAGAGCGCCGCGCAGGGGCGGAGCCGGAGCCGGTGCTGGGCTTGGGGGGCGTGGTGGTGGGGGGTCAGCAAGGCTCGTTTCCACCCCAGCCACCAGCCTGGGCATTCCCTTGGCGACGCGTTTGGGTCTCCACCTGCTGCGGGAACGAGGGGCGGGGCAGGGGGCGGGGCCTGCGCGGTGTTCCCGGGAGAGGAGGCGGGAGCCGGAGTGGACGCCCGAGCTGCGGCTGCTGTAGTTATCCTAGCCCGTGCTGGGGCGGCGGAGCGGCGGGAGGCAAGGCTGGCGGGGCGAAAGACTGGGAAACCTCTGAAAGACCAACGAGACTTCGGAGACCAGAGACGCGCCTGGGGGGACCTGGGGCTTGGGGCGTGCGAGAGTTCCCTTGCACTCGCTGGGAAAGCGCGCGGGGATCGTCCCATGGCCGGGGCTCGGAGCCGCGACCCTTGGGGGGCCTCCTGGATTTGCTACCTTCTTGGCTCCCTGCTCGTCGAACTGCTCTTCTCACGGGCTGTCGCCTTCAATCTGGACGTGATGGGTGCCTTGCGCAAGGAGGGCGAGCCAGGCAGCCTCTTCGGCTTCTCTGTGGCCTTGCACCGGCAGTTGCAGCCCGGACCCCAGAGCTGGTGAGTCACCGCACCCGCCCGGAGTCCCCATGCTCCAGCCACAGATCGTCGTCCTCCCCACTCTGCGGGGCACCTCATTTCTCTGTCTTCCAGCCCCACCAAGACCTTGACTGCCCACAGACATCTCGCACCCCAACCTGGAGCCTTGCCTCATCTGACTTGGGTCTGACGCTGTACTTCCCGGCACTGAGACCCAGGATTTTGCCTTAGGGATGAGTTGGAAAGGAAGGTTCTTGTCTTGGCAGCGAACCATCTCCTTCTGGGCCTTTCCCCCAACTTGCATCCTTGATCCAGCCCCAGGGCCTCTGGCTCCCCTGCTTCTTCCAAGGGCTGGATTCCCCAAGGGAGGGAGACTGTCTGTCTCTGCTTAGAATAGGAGGAGATGGAAAGGACATAGAGGTTGAGGGTGCCATGAGAGGGCTGCATGCAGGGCAGACTCCAGAAATAACTTCCTGCCAGAGCATTGCCATGGATGGAATGAGGGCAGCAGGGCACTGGAAGGCCAGGAGAGAGCTTCCACTTCTGTGGTTTAAGACCATGGGAAGATTGGGAGAGGATCTGCAGGTCTGGCAGCCTGCAGTAGGTGGCTTGGTGATAGTGGCAGAAAACTGAGCCCCCAAAGTACTAGTAGCAGTAGTAGTAGTAGCCGCAGCAGCTGTAACAGTGAGAGAGATCCAGGAAGGATGCTGGCCAGGCTGCTCCCCTTCCTCCTCTTTAGCAAATTTCCAGCTCCAGGAATCTCAGTAGCAGGTCAAAGACAAGAGGAGTAAGGGGTGGAGGACAATTCTAGTTCTTTCTAATCAGTTCAGGACCCATGGGAGATGGATATACTTTTGTGAGGGGCCTGTGACTGGTCATGTTGCCTGTATCCTTGGCTCTCGCTACATGTCCGATTGTAAAAAGAGAGGCCAGAGATGAAGAAAGCTTCTCACCCGCTCCTGCTAGGGGGCTTTTCTCTCTCCAACCAGTGCCTAAGCCACATTAAGTATCCATTACTGGGATCAATGCTGTCCACTGGGACTGTCTTCTCCCTCTACTATTGGTCTGGGGGCAGGGGGCAGAGACAAGAGCTCATTTCTCACTTGCTTGGGGAGTGGGGGCCTAGCTCTAATCTTTCTTCCTCCATTATCCCTATCATCTGGTAGCAGGGGCTGTGGTCCCCAAAACTTTGGGAGAGATAGAAAGCAATGGACTTCATCTCCTCTTCTATTTACCATCTGCTTCCTCATTCACCTTTGCTCCCTTCCTCCCTTCCTCCCTCCTTCCCCCATCTGCCAGAGTTCGAGGACTGGAGACGTTTTTAGGACATGCTGAACTCTCTAAGCTATTTCCAGGCAAATTCTAGGTTATTTTTAATAGCTTGGTCTCTTGTCATTTCCCCCTCCTCTCTGAAGGTGGCCCCTGATTCTGTCTCCCAGAGCCAAGCTGGGGGCATTCCCAGAGGGCCTGACTGCCTCACCCTGCTTTTGCTCCAGCAGGGGGTGCTCTGCTGCCCGGGAGGGGGGTGAGGGAGGGGGGCATGTGAGAGGCCAGGCACCTGCTCAGTCCCTAGCTTTTTAGTTGCAGGTTGCCTGCCTTAGCACACCCTGATGAAAACAACTTCTTGCCTGTTTTGATGTCTTTTAGTCTAGCTCTGGGATGAGACGTTGAGGTCTAACCTTTGCTGTGTGGTTCCAGCCTCATTTATTTCCTTCAATTGTAAAATGAATATAAACAATAGTATTACTACATACAGTTGTTGTGCAGATTAAGAGTTCTTAATATATGTAAAATGCTTAGAATAGTGCATAGCCCACAGTGAGTGCTGTGAAAGTGTTAGTAGTACTGCTATTCTTGTATTGTGATTCACAGAGCGCTTTACAGAGATTCTGGATCCAAAGGCTTGGCTAGAGGGCCTCCCCTGCTGAGCCAGCCTTCCAGGCCAAGCATCCTCTCCAGAGGGCCACCCAGATTGAGAGGGGCCAAAGAGGGGCTGGACTTGGGCTGGGGCGCTGGAGTGTGTGGAGAATGGAGAAGTGCGGTGGTCGTGGGCTACTCCTTTGTCTTCACTTAGCTGAGCTCCCAGGGAGTCCCTCTGCCCCCAGCTGCCAACACTTTTTTTTTTTTTTTTTGCCTTTCTCTCTGCAGTGGCTGCACTGTGGCTGTCCAGAAGCCTGGGGTGGTTTAGGGCTTATGGCATGAGCTCAGGAAGGAGTGTGTGTGTGGCTGGACCACAGGTGGAGGGACTAGAGAGGCTGCGGCTGGGTGCTCTTGTTCCACTAGGGATCGAGTGGTCTCTTCTCCACCAAGAGCAGACTGGGCATATCTATGCACTCAGCTTCTTTCCTCCACATGGGCCCCTCCCCTCCTCCCTACTTTTGGCCTCCAGAGGAGATGTGAACATAGAACAAAGTTAACTTGTCTGGGTGCTTAGCTATGCACTGACCAACTGTGACACTGGATATCTCTATGAGTCCACAAAATGTGTGTGTTCAGTAAAACACATCCTGACACTCCCTATGGGGCAAGCACAAAGATGAAAAGACAGCCCCAACCCTCAGTGAGATGGTCACCTCTATATTTGGAGGTTGGGGGGACTGCTGACTTGCCTGAAGGTTGCCGTTTATTTGCACAGGGCTGTATCACCTCGTTTCATTTTCTGCCCAGGGTACCCTCATCTCCCCTCTCCCTTCTTCCCTTTCTGGGGTGGTCTCAGTGTTCTAGAGACAGGTCAGTCACTGAGTGGAATGACAAAGTATTGGAGTTAGGCCCATGTGGATTTGAATTCCAGCATCACTGCTTAGTGTCTTTGAGTGAGTTTCCTCATCTGAAAGACAAGAAGAGAATCCTTATCTCGTAGGACTGTTGTGATGATTAAATGACATAATGCATGTGACTTGCCTATCCTGGTGCTTGGCACATATGTGGACAGTGATGAATGTTAGTTTTTCATATCCCTGGTGTCTAGCTTCGGATCTGACATCATAGTAGGTGCTGAATAAATATGATTTCCTTGTCTCACCAGCACCTGACACAGGGCTTGGCATATGATAGACTCTCAATAAGTAGTTGAATGTCAAATGTGTCTTCTCGTCTCTACTACTCCCTATACCCCTTCTCTCTGTTGACACTGGCCCTGACAAGGGATGGCAGCTGCTAAGAGACGAGGAGGAGCTGTGGGAAGGAAGAATGGTTCTCTGCCCTCCCCCTCCACCCCAGCAGACCTGGCACAGTGTCCCACAGATGCCTATCTGTAATACTGCCTAACATGGTTTTGGGCTTTGCCCCCCCAGGAAGGGAGATGGAGGAGAAGAGTGTGGGAGAGAGGCCTTGAGGTTTGTGCCACTGCCACTTCTGAGTCTCTCCTTCTGCAAAGAGAGGACACATGGAGCCAGCTGGGTGTCAGTCGTCTCACCTCATCCCAGCCTTCACTCTGGCCTGGGGCTTCAGCCCCGGGGGACCCAGGCAGCCTCCATTCCCAGCACAGTGCTTCCCTGGGGAAGACGTCTTGGCTGTGATCATGGAAAATTGTCCTGCCAAGAAAGTTGTAGCTGGGAAAGAGGCTGAGGGGGAGGCAGGAGAGAAGACTGGGTGGGGGTGAAAGGGAAAGAGAAATCATAGACATGGGGAGAAGGAAGGATGGGGAAGGGGATTCAGGATGTCGGGAAGAGAATGGGGTAGCACTGGACTCAGAAGGAGAAACTTGTCCCTACCTCCATGCCAGCCAGAGTGACTGATCGAATCCTGGGCTGGCACAGCTTCTGGGAGATGAGGTCTTTGCTGGGTCCCTGATGAGGGGGAAGTGGATCTGTATCTAGCCTCTTGCCTGTCCTCTGAAGCTGGTCCCTGAGCCACATTCTGATGCCGGTGTGGGGCCCTATTACTTTTGCTCCCAGCATTCTTGGCATTTCTGGCTGGGTTTCAACTAGACTGGGTTGGGGGAGCAGAGCAGAGCTTGGGGATGGGGCCAAGGAGGGGGTAGGGAAGGCCTACTCAGGAACAGGTGCTGGGAACAGGCGGTTCTTTCAAACCAGCAGTGCTGGCCTGGCTGCTCGGGTTGGCGTGTGTGTGTGTGTGTGTGTGTGTGTGTGTATCTACTGTGCATGTTGATTCCTCATCCAGCTGGTATGTACATGCAACGTGATGACTGCATGACCAAGTATATTAATTTGTCCTTGCCAGGGTTTGAGAAAACTGACATTTGCCCCTTCTCTTTAGTCCTTGAACACTCTCTTTAGTACTGAGGGGTTGGGCCTGGGCAGCAATAAGGAGGTTGGATCATTCTGACATCTAACTCCTGTCCCTGTCCCTGCCCCATCTTGTAGGCTGCTGGTGGGTGCTCCCCAGGCCCTGGCTCTTCCTGGGCAGCAGGCGAATCGCACTGGAGGCCTCTTCGCTTGCCCCTTGAGTCTGGAGGAGACCGACTGCTACAGAGTGGACATCGACCAGGGAGGTGTGGCCCTGCATGAGCGGAGTGGGGGAAGCGTGTGAGCGGGGAGGAGAGGACTTGGGCTCCTCTTCCCTCCCCTGATTCCCAGTGTTCTGCCTCCAGCTGATGTGCAAAAGGAAAGCAAGGAGAACCAGTGGTTGGGAGTCAGTGTTCGGAGCCAGGGGCCTGGGGGCAAGATTGTTGTGAGTATTGCTTCTCATGACTGAATGCAAGGATGGTGTGTGTGTTTGTGTGTGTGCGTGTTTATGGTGTGTGCATATGCACAGGTGTGCTTAGAGAACATAAGTTAGGAATATGGTATGATACCAAGTACATCAGGGAGATATAAAAAGGTGTGAGGCCTGGTCCTTGTCCTTATACGTGTAAAAACGTCTGTCCCTTCATTCATCCATCCATTTGTCAAAGTCTTACTGAGAACCTTTTAAGCATCAGGCATTGTGCTAGTTACTACAGGGGAAGGCTGAGCTTGGTGGCTCATGCCTGTAATCCCAGCACTTTGGGAGGCCGAGGCAGGTGGATCACTTGAGGTCAGAGGTTCGAGACCACCCTGGCCAACATGGCGAAATCCTGTCTCTACTAAAAATACAAAAAAATTAGCCAGTCGTGGTGGCAGGTGCCTGTAATCCCAGGTACTCGGGAGGCTGAGGCAGGAGAATCACTTAAACCTGGGAGGAGGAGGTTGCAGTGAGCTGAGATCACACCCTCGCATGCTAGCCTGGGAGACAAGAGCAAAATTCCGTCTCAAAAAAAAAAAAAAAAAAAAAAAGACAGGGCTCACTGTTTCTCACTCTCGCTGTGTCTTTCAGTAAGACGCACAGACACACAGTTACCAATACAGATCACTGTGGGGCAGAAGCTGGTTAATGTTAAGTGAGTGGTCTAGTCTCCAGTCTATAAAAATCCAAAGGAGGAGTAGAGAGAAGACTTCTGCAGATGGGGTGATTGGAGCCAGGCTTTAACAATAGGTAATACCTAACCTGTGCAACATAGTGGGACCTCATCTTTATAGAAAAGAGAAACAAATTAGCCAGTCATGGTGGTGCATGTCTGTAGTCCCAGCTACACAGGAGGCTGAGGTGGGAGGATCACTTGAGCCCTGGAGGTCGAGGCTGCAGTGAGCCATGATCGTGCCACTGCACGATGGGTGACAGAGTGAGACCTTACCTCAGGAAAAATAAAAGAGTAATGCTTGGAGAGTGAAGAGGACAGCAAGTTCTTTGCAGAGGAGGTGCTAACACTTACAAAGCTCCAGGGACAGGGCCAAGCTTGGCATTTTGGAGGACTGTGAAATGATCAGGGAGACACACATCCTATGTGGTGGCTTAGTCGTGTCTTTTGGCTCCAGGCAGAATGTGGAACAAGGAGATGTCCATTTGAGGGCAAGGAAGTGGGTGCAGACAGGTTGCTGGGTTATGCATGGACCTTCGTAACATTGGCAGGGTAATGGTGCTTGAGTGGTGCCGGCATAGCGGTATGTGTGTGTATGTGTGCATGTGTGTGTGTGCGTGTGAGCACACACGTATCAGTGTCTGCCAAATCTCTGCATGTGGGCAGCATGCCTCAAGCAGGTCCCTGGCCCACAGAGTGAAATGATCCCCATCCCTTCCTCCCCCAGACCTGTGCACACCGATATGAGGCAAGGCAGCGAGTGGACCAGATCCTGGAGACACGGGATATGATTGGTCGCTGCTTTGTGCTAAGCCAGGACCTGGCCATCCGGGATGAGTTGGATGGTGGGGAATGGAAGTTCTGTGAGGGGCGCCCCCAAGGCCATGAACAATTTGGGTTCTGCCAGCAGGGCACAGCTGCCGCCTTCTCCCCTGATAGCCACTACCTCCTCTTTGGGGCCCCAGGAACCTATAATTGGAAGGGTGAGTCACTCCTCGGGGAGGGGAGAAGGGGACTGAAACCTCCTCTTACCTCGGAGACATGGCCAAGCATGACCACATGTGCACTGCTGTATGGCCCCAGGGCACTGCCATGCCTTCCACCCCCACTGAGCTAGTGCACACGTGACTGGGGGGTGCCTCCTTTCCCTTGCACGGCCAAGTGTTCCTCAACGTGCTGGCATGGGCCCCAAGTGCACGCTGGGCCTGCAGCTGGGGCCTGCATGCTCCAACACACTAGCCCACACCTCATCACTGCCATTCCCGTCTCCGCACGCTGCTGCTGGCTGAGCTGACACTCGGTGAGTGTGATGCCACATCTGGGGGACCCCAGGAAGCCTGGGTTGGGAACAGGGTGGGGAGAGGGCTAGAAAGAAGAGGAGGGGCTTCCCCGTGTGCCTATCTAACTCAGTGTCCAGCTTGAGGGGTATTCCTTGCACCCTGCCCTGGGCACTAACAGGACTGTCCTTGCAGGCACGGCCAGGGTGGAGCTCTGTGCTCAGGGCTCAGCGGACCTGGCACATCTGGACGACGGTCCCTACGAGGCGGGGGGTGAGAAGGAGCAGGACCCCCGCCTCATCCCGGTCCCTGCCAACAGCTACTTTGGTAGGGACCCCTCTCCGGCCCAGAGCTGCTCTAACCCTCTGCTCCTCTCTTTTGTCCTCCCTCTCCATGCTCCCATCCTTCTGTCTCTGTTTCTGTCTCTCACCCTGTCTCTCTCTGTCTTTCTGTCTCTGGCTGTGATCTCTCTGGTCTCTTTTTCTCTCTCTACCTCTTCTTCTTCCACCTTTTTCTGGCCTTTCTGTGGCTCTGTCTCCCTACTCTGTGGCCCCTCCTCTGGATGTCCCGTCCCTGGTGTCTGCCCCCACCCCCCACAGGGTTGCTTTTTGTGACCAACATTGATAGCTCAGACCCTGACCAGCTGGTGTATAAAACTTTGGACCCTGCTGACCGGCTCCCAGGACCAGCCGGAGACTTGGCCCTGAATAGCTACTTAGGTTTGTAAGCTCCCACCTCCTGGACTCTAGGGGCATGGCCTGGCCTCCCCTCCTTCCCCAGGGAACTTGACCTTTGGCGCCTTATAATCTCCTCCTCCCCCAACACACACCTAGGGAGACACACATTGGGCCCAAATTGCAGAGAAGAGCCGGGTCCAGTGACCAGGCCTAAGAAGAGGAGGCCCCAAGGGTGATGGCCTCTGGGGCTGTGAGCCAGGGGTCTCCAGGGAGGAAGATTCAGGTGGAGTGAGAGGGCCAGGGCTGAGGATATCCTGGGAAGGACAGTCCTGCCTTCTAGGGGGACTTTCCTTGAGGGATGGATGGTGGGCACATATTGAGGAAAGGGCTAGTGTTGTTGGTAAGTCCCTCTCCTTGTCTCATCTGCCTCCCTCTGCAGAGGAGGAGGAAACCAGGCCTGGGAGATGTTTGGGTGAAGCAGGCTCTCTCTCACTCCCCCTTGTCTCCCCCTCATCCATGTGAAGACTTCCCATTCCTGTCAGGATGAGGGAGTGGGGGGAAGAGGTGCACTGGGTGGGATTCGGGCCTGAGAGGGACCTCTAGCTCTTCTAGCTACCTGGGTGTGGGCAGGATCAGGCCACTGTGCTCAGCCTCCTACCTGGGCTCCTGGCCTTCTCAGCCATCACCGTTCTGTCTCCTGCCCATTCCCTGAGGCTGACCTCACTGCACTTTTTGTGCCAAGCTTGTCTCTGGGCCTGGTGGGTGTGGGGGGCTGCCAGGCCCTGCGGGAAGGAAGAGTCATCCAGCTGTGGTGCTGATGACTTGGGGGAACCTATCTTTTGACTCTTAACCTAGGGGAGGGGGCAGGGGATGGGGGAGCTGTGACAAACCCCAGCTTCTGGGTCTTGGGGTGAAGACTTAGGGGTAAGTCACCCTTTCCCCAGGCTTCTCTATTGACTCGGGGAAAGGTCTGGTGCGTGCAGAAGAGCTGAGCTTTGTGGCTGGGGCCCCCCGTGCCAACCACAAGGGTGCTGTGGTCATCCTGCGCAAGGACAGCGCCAGTCGCCTGGTGCCTGAGGTTATGCTGTCTGGGGAGCGCTTGACCTCCGGCTTTGGCTACTCGCTGGCTGTGGCTGACCTCAACAGTGATGGGTGAGTGGGTAGAGGGCCGTGCCACCTGAGGGAGGCTGGGTCCGGTAGCCCCATTCTGGCTGAGGCCACTCAGCCTCCTGCTGGCTCCTCTGGCCAGGAAGGACCCGTACTGAATGTTTCCCTCTCTCCATAGCTGGCCAGACCTGATAGTGGGTGCCCCCTACTTCTTTGAGCGCCAAGAAGAGCTGGGGGGTGCCGTGTATGTGTACTTGAACCAGGGGGGTCACTGGGCTGGGATCTCCCCTCTCCGGCTCTGCGGCTCCCCTGACTCCATGTTCGGGATCAGCCTGGCTGTCCTGGGGGACCTCAACCAAGATGGCTTTCCAGGTGTGACTGGGAACTGAAAGGCTCAGGGGAGGGAGGGGCCGCAGGAGGGATGGGGACGCCCCTCAGAGGTCAGGGTGTGGTCTTCTGAGGACTCCGGGAGTGAGGGTTCCTGGGCTTATGTCTGAGCTTTACCATTTACCGGCTTTCTGACCTTGGCAAGTTACCTAACCTTTTTGCGTTAGTAATGTCTGCAGGGAGTGGCCAAGAGGATTAAAGATGATGTACGTAGAGTGCCTGGGATTTTGTAGCCTCTCAATAAAATAGAAAACATACCTGAGTGACTGGGGCAAAGTTGAGGCCTGGACCTTGTCTGCAAGGCCCCCAGCCAGGGTGACTGCCTTTTCCCTGTGCCCTGCAGATATTGCAGTGGGCGCCCCCTTTGATGGTGATGGTAAAGTCTTCATCTACCATGGGAGCAGCCTGGGGGTTGTCGCCAAACCTTCGCAGGTGAGGGGGGTCGCTGGGATGAGGGAATGGGTGTGGGTGGAATCAGCAGAGGCATCGGGGAGGCAGAGGCCTGAGGGAGTTGGGATCGAGGGAGGCTGACAGCCGGTTCTCTAGGTGCTGGAGGGCGAGGCTGTGGGCATCAAGAGCTTCGGCTACTCCCTGTCAGGCAGCTTGGATGTGGATGGGAACCAATACCCTGACTTGCTGGTGGGCTCCCTGGCTGACACCGTCGTGCTCTTCAGGTGAGCCCCTCACCACCACTTCTCCCTCCCTGAGGGTGTCAGCCCCTCCCTGTGACTCTGACCCCCATCCCGGTGCCAAATCTAATGCTCAAGATTGTTTCCCAGCCTCACGTTCTCACATTTCTGGTGCCCTTGACTCCCCAATCCCAGGGCCAGACCCGTCCTCCATGTCTCCCATGAGGTCTCTATTGCTCCACGAAGCATTGACCTGGAGCAGCCCAACTGTGCTGGCGGCCACTCGGTCTGGTGAGGCGGGGTGGGGTGGCACCTGGACCCTGGCAGCTTCCCCTGCCCTCCCTTTGATCCCTTTATCTCCCCAGTTTGGGGCTGGGGCTGTGACAGGATGTGACAGATGGGGTGGGGGTGGGGGCCTTGGCCCATCGGCCTCGTTTGGCTCAGGAGCCACCCTCTGCCCCCGCAGCGTGGACCTAAGGGTCTGTTTCAGCTACATTGCAGTCCCCAGCAGCTACAGCCCTACTGTGGGTGAGTGCAGTCCCCGCTCTGCGGCTCGCCCTTTTGGGTTTCCCAGGGAGGGGGGGTCACTTCAAGGTCACCCTGGGAATAGGGTGAGCTGGAGGAGCTCTGCAGCTCAGTGACGACTCCTCTCCCAACATGCCACAGCCCTGGACTACGTGTTAGACGCGGACACAGACCGGAGGCTCCGGGGCCAGGTTCCCCGTGTGACCTTCCTGAGCCGTAGCCCAGATGAACCCAAGCACCAAGCCTCAGGCACCGTGTGGCTGAAGCACCAGCATGACCGAGTCTGTGGAGATGCCATGTTCCAGCTCCAGGTGGACACTGACCCCTTGGCTTCTGAGGGTCATTGTCATGGCTCCATCTCTTTTCCGTGATTCCTCTTAGCTGCTTCTTCCCGAACACACTTGTGCCTCCTTCTAAGACCTAGACACGTGGGAAGCCTGTCTTCTGAGCTCACTTTCTCCTCATCTGCTGCCCTCTCCTGTCATTTCTGCATTCCCTGGAGGAGGAGGAGGTGCAAGGGCTTCATGTCCCCCCTTCCAGCTGAATGGAGGAGGTGGCAGCTTTTATCATCACATCTGGTCCTCAAAGCCTTAAATCCTGGGTTTCTCCTGCCCCCTACCCCAGTCTTTCTCCCTCCTCCTTGCTCAGTTCTCCACCTCTCTCATTTATGTCCCTAAGCTTCTTTCCAAGTTTTAGAATTGGTCCTAGGTCTGGCTGGGGCTCAGAGCAGGGCTGAGGCCTGGGGATTGTTCCAGTGAGGAACAGCCCTTCCTCTTCCTAGGATAATGTCAAAGACAAGCTTCGGGCCATTGTAGTGACCTTGTCCTACAGTCTCCAGACCCCTCGGCTCCGGCGACAGGCTCCTGGCCAGGGGCTGCCTCCAGTGGCCCCCATCCTCAATGCCCACCAGCCCAGCACCCAGTGGGCAGAGGTGAGCATGGGTTCTGGTTTAGCCCAGGAGGAGGAGCTGGGAGGGCAGAGATCATAGTCCCTCCCCAGTGACACCCATTCATAACTCATAGAGCCCTTTCATGTATGCTACTCCAGTAATTCCTCATATCTCTAGGTGCCCAAATGACCATGTGTTCCTAGTCAAGAGGACAGAGCTCCTCCACTCCATGTAGTCATTCAGGGGCTCAGGTTGATGGGATTCTGTAATCTTCAAATGAGGCCTTCAAGCTCTTGAAGTCACATTCATCCCGTTCAGCTGGAAGCGGGGGACATGAGGCCCCTTGCGTGGTTTTTATGGCCGGCCCAGAAGTGGTGCCCTTGACATCCCTTCCGGTTCTAAATCTGGAACTCAGTTACATGCATGTGAGCTGGGGCAGTGTGGTCCAGTTCTTGACTTGCTGTTAGTCTCTACCATGGCATGGTAGTGCTCCCATCATTTTACTGCAGAGGAGAGGACGTAGTTCAGGATCACACGCTGGTAAGCAGCAGATGAGAGTTGAGCACAGGTTGTTTAATCCTGTGATACTCTAACCCACTGTATGCCATGGTGAAGGTTTGCCCCCTACCTTGTCCCCTAGGAATGCCCCTTATCTCCTGTCTCTCCCCAGATCCACTTCCTGAAGCAAGGCTGTGGTGAAGACAAGATCTGCCAGAGCAATCTGCAGCTGGTCCGCGCCCGCTTCTGTGCCCGGGTCAGCGACACGGAATTCCAGCCTCTGCCCATGTGAGGGGGGCAGAGAGCAGGGTGGGGGTGGGAGGGCAAGAGTTCGAGGACTGAGAGAAAGCCCCCTCAGGAGGACCAGTCAGAGGGAGGGCTGAGCCTGCAGAGAGGGCAGAAGGTGGAAGAGGACCTGCTGATGACTTAGAGACTGCGATGAGGGTCAGTGATGGGGCTGCGGGGGCTCCCATGGCAAGGGATAGCAATCCTTCACAGTACACTAATAATACGCAGTCTACATACATCTCATTGGTTAGTCTTCAAACCTCTGTGAGGTAGGAATTATATTAGTCTCATTTTATAGATGGAGAACTGAGGCCTAGAGAGGTTAAGTTAGTTGCCCAAGGTAAGTAATGGTGGAGCTGAGATGAGAATGGAGGTCCTCTGACTCCCAGTTGTGTGTACAGAGGCCTGAGGCTTGGATGAGTGTGATGGGGACCTGGAGTGGGAAGAGAGGCTCAGGGAGTGAAGGCAGGTACTGGGGGGAGCAGACTGGGAGGGGGAGTGGTAGGGGGAGGTGTTCTTAGCGGGAGTGGGGTCTGACTCTCCAGGGATGCGGATGGAACAACAGCCCTGTTTGCACTGAGTGGGCAGCCAGTCATTGGCCTGGAGCTGATGGTCACCAACCTGCCATCGGACCCAGCCCAGCCCCAGGCTGATGGGGATGATGCCCATGAAGCCCAGCTCCTGGTCATGCTTCCTGACTCACTGCACTACTCAGGAGTCCGGGCCCTGGACCCTGCGGTGAGGACCTGGGGGCAGGATGGGGTGGGGTCTTGAGGGGCTCCAGTAACTCAGACTGACCTTGCCTTCTCTCCCATTCCAGGAGAAGCCACTCTGCCTGTCCAACGAGAATGCCTCCCATGTTGAGTGTGAGCTGGGGAACCCCATGAAGAGAGGTGCCCAGGTTAGCACATCTGCCCTTATCCCTATGTGAGTAGCCTCTCCATAAGCCCATAGACCACCCCTGACTCTAATCGCTTTCCACCCTTGGCCTAGGTCACCTTCTACCTCATCCTTAGCACCTCAGGGATCAGCATTGAGACCACGGAACTGGAGGTAGAGCTGCTGTTGGAGATGTGTATAAGAGACAGCCTCAGGGATCAGCATTGAGACCACGGAACTGGAGGTAGAGCTGCTGTTGGCCACGTAAGCCAGGCGGGGCCGGAGGGGTGAGGTGGGGTTGTCATATTGACCTCATCTGACCCCTTGGGAGGCGCCTGTGCCTGATGCCCATACTTGCCCCGCCCACTCACCAGGATCAGTGAGCAGGAGCTGCATCCAGTCTCTGCACGAGCCCGTGTCTTCATTGAGCTGCCACTGTCCATTGCAGGGTGAGTCTGGCCCAAGTGGGTACCTCCATTGGAGGGAAGGGGCATTGCCGCTTCCAAACCTTGGCCAGGGCCTTGCCTGCACTAAGCCAGGCCCCAGACCTTCTTACCCCTGTTCTGACCTTTGCACACCAGGATGGCCACTCCCCAGCAACTCTTCTTCTCTGGCGTGGTGAGGGGCGAGAGAGCCATGCAGTCTGAGCGGGATGTGGGCAGCAAGGTCAAGTATGAGGTCACGGTAAGTGTCAGGGATGAGGCCCTTCCATGGTTGCCCTCCCTCCTTGGCACAGAGGAGAGGCTGAGCTGTGTCCCCAGGGCTGGGGCTCTTCTACCATGTGGCAGCATGCTGGTCTAGTGAGTCTGAGGCCTCTGGTCTGCATCTGGACCTTGGCTGTGGTAAGGTGTTTCTGCTGGGGCCTCACCTGACCTTTCCTGGTCATTCTGTCTGGCTGTCTCACCTGCTGGTCTGGTAGGCCATGAAAGTCCAGGGAAGCTTCTCTGCTGTAGGCCTCAGCTGGGGGATGGGAACATGGGGTGGGAGTTAATGTCTCTCCCTGGAACTCTGCCTTTGCTTGGCTGGGGCCTCCCCTCACACCTTCCAGGGACACTTCTAGGGTTCCCTGGATTTGGTGGGTGGGAAGAATGGTGCCTGGTGGGGTCTAGGATCCTGAGTATTTGTTGAAATTATGTTTCCTGAGGGCCTTCTCTTCAGCCCCTGTTCCTTCCATCTCTGTGGATTTACGATCCACTTGAAAACTGAGTTCCTTGGCTGGGCATGGTGGCTCATGCCTGTAATCACAGCACTATAGGAGGCCAAGGTGGCAGGATTGCTTGAGCCCAGGAGTTAGAGACCAGCCTGGGCAACATAGCCAGATCCTGTCTCTACGAAAAATTAAAAAAAAAAAGAAAAAAGAAAACCTGAGGTCCCTTCCCTCATACTCTCTTTTTCCCACAGGTTTCCAATCAAGGCCAGTCGCTCAAAACCCTGGGCTCTGCCTTCCTCAACATCATGTGGCCTCATGAGATTGCCAATGGGAAGTGGTTGCTGTACCCAATGCGGGTGGAGCTGGAGGGCGGGCAGGGGCCTGGGCAGAAAGGGCTTTGCTCTCCCAGGCCCAACATCCTCCACCTGGTGAGGCTTAGGTGGGGGTGGGGGTTAGATGTTGGGAGAGATGTCATGGGGAGTAAGGGTAGTGAGTGCAGTGATGGGGCAGGAGGAAGGTGGTGGGGTGGAGATTCTATCTCAGGACGGCTGTGATTGGGGGGACACTCACTGAGACCCCCCTTCTGTGTCCAGGATGTGGACAGTAGGGATAGGAGGCGGCGGGAGCTGGAGCCACCTGAGCAGCAGGAGCCTGGTGAGCGGCAGGAGCCCAGCATGTCCTGGTGGCCAGTGTCCTCTGCTGAGAAGAAGAAAAACATCACCCTGGTGAGGGCAGGCCAGACTTGGTGCAGCCGGAATGGGAGTGTGGGGTGTGGGGGCACAGAGCTCCAGGGTACTGTGTGTCCAGGAAGGGTAGCCTATTGAGACACGTGATGGTCAAACGCCTGGGTGCAAGTTGACCAGATGTTCCCATCACAGTACATAGGAGGGGGTGCCCGGGAGGCAGCTACTGACACTGCAGACCTCCTTCCTGCTCAGCCCCTGCAATTGCTCACTCTAGAACAGGTCACTCCACCTGAAGCAAGTTAGTTAGCCAAGCAATTGATTCACCTTACATTTATATAAAGCATTACATTTTATAGGTGATGGGATGGGGTTAGCCCATCCTCACACTTTGAGGTCTGTTGGTCGTTCTTCTGAACTCTTATAACATAAAAAAGTCAATTTGTGTAAGGACACTTGCTCGATGTTTACAGTATTAAAAATGTTAAGTTCTTTTTTGTTGTTGTTGAGACAGAGTCTTGCTCTGTCGCCCAGGCTGGAGCGCAGTGGTGCGATCTCAGCTCACTGCAACCTCCGCCTCCCTGGTTCAAGCAATTCTCCTTCTTCAGCCTCCCGAGTAGCTGGGACTACAGGTGCATGCCATCACACCTGGCTAATTTTTGTATTTTTAGTAGAGATGGGTTTCACCATGTTGGCCAGGCTGGCTGGTCTCGATCTCCTAACCTTAAGCGATCTGCCTGCCTCAGCCTCCCAAAGTGCTGGAATTACAGTCCTGAGCCATGTGCTTGGCAAAAACACTAAATTCTAAAAGTTCTAATAATGAAGATGATAGTATATTAGATGTGATTTATTAAGTCTACCCCTTTTGAGCAGTTTTGCTTTCCCCTTTTCTGCTTGTTTTGCAGAGTTGTGTTGTTTAGGTGAAGGTATTGAGCAGATCCGCACATGCTCTGTGCCCCTCCCTGCTAGGATGGGGCTCGCAGTGACAATGTGGTGGGGACGTAGATTAGGGGAGGGTCTCTGGCCTGACTGTAAGGAGGTGGAGGTAAACCTCAGGTGGAGCCAAGAAGATCCTTTGCAGGGGAATGTTAGCAGCTGCTGCAGTCCCTGCACTGGGTCCTCAGCTCCCCTGGGAGCATGGCATGAGGCAAACTGAAGAATGTCAGGGGATGTAGGAACCTGTGTCATAGCTGTTGCTCTGTTACATGGATAGTCCTCCCTTCTCCACCTGACCAATTTCCCCTGAGAGGTCTCCCTTTTAAATGGGAACTTTGAAATAGATTCTTTTTGTTTTCATGTTGAAATGTATTTATTTATTTAAATGACAAAAATTATATTTATGTATAATATGATGCTTTGAAATATGTTTATACTGTGGAATGGCTATATTGAGCTAATTAACATACACATCATCTCACATACTTATTTTTGTGGTAAGAACACTTAAAATCTGTTCTCTTAGTGATTCTCAAGAATACACTATGTTGTAATTAACTAGAGTCCCAATGTTGTGCAATAGATCTCTTAAATAGATATCTCTTCCCTCTGTCTAACTGAAACTTTGTACCTTTTGACCACCACCTCCTCCAGCTCCCAGCCACACCCCGCCTTCACCCCAGCCCTAGGTAACAACTATTCTACTCTCTACTTCTATGAGTTCAACTTTCAGATTCCACATATAAGTGAGATAATGCAGTATTTATCTTTCTGAGTCTGGCTTACTTTGCTTAACATAATGTCTAAAGTAGATTCTTTTACAAAAAAGGCAGAAGGCCTTGCTTTTAGACAGCTTGGCTGAGGATTCTTGAATGGCTCAAAAGTGGCACAAGAAAAGATGACTCAAAGAATTCAGACACTCTGAAAGCCATTCTTCTGTATCTGGATTGTGGTGTGATGATATAACATAACTTTCAGGCAAATGGGTCAAGAGGTGGTGATTGGGCCAAATGGATTTAGGTCAGTCCTGGAAAGAACAGAGCCTGAGTCCCCTGCCCCCCCAGGAGCTCCTGAGGCAGCCTCCTCCTGCTTCAGTGAGTTTGGGTTTAGGGCAGGGGTGTGGCTGTATCGAATATGGAGCTGAGTTCAAATATTTGCTCCACCACTTATTAGCTTTGCTAGTGTTGTGACCTGAGGCAGGTCACTTGGCCTCCTTGGGCCTCCTCAGTTTCTTCCTTTGAAAAATGAGGGTGATAATAACATGCACCTTGCAGGACTGTTGCGAAGCTTAAATGAGATAAGTGCCCGACAAGTAGTAGGTGTTCAATAAATGGGACTGTCATTAGGTAACATAAGCATCACTTGGGGAAGCTACTCTGCCTGTGCTGTCAAGTAAGAGATTCCCCTCCATGCTGCCCCCTCTATGCATTTCAAAGCTGAATAGCTCAGATTTGGGGTAGGCAGCTGTTTTGGATATAAGATTAGTTTGAGAAGACTTCCTGGAGGAGGGGAGTTTGAGGTCAAGTAAGGAAAATGGGAGAGATGGCAGTCTCAGCAGGGTCAAACTGAGTGGCTTAGACCCTTGTCTGTCCTTATCCCTAGGACTGCGCCCGGGGCACGGCCAACTGTGTGGTGTTCAGCTGCCCACTCTACAGCTTTGACCGCTCGGCTGTGTTGCATGTCTGGGGCCGTCTCTGGAACAGCACCTTCCTGGAGGTGAGGATACCACTGAGGCTCTAGTCTGTTTCTTCTTCCCCAAAAGCCCCTCCAGGACTCACTTCTCCTCCCTCCTCACTGTCCAAATGCAGCATCCTTTTTTTTTTTTTTTTTTTTTTTATGAGATGGAGTCTTCCTTTGTCCCCCAGGCTGGAGTGCAGTGGTGCGATCTCAGCTCACTGCAACCTCTGCCTCCCAGGTTCAAGAGATTCTCCTGCCTCAGCCTCCTGAGTAGCTGGGATTACAGGCACGTGCCACCACATCCGGTATTTTTGTATTTTTCATAGAGATGGGGGTTTGCCATGTTGGCCAGGTTGATCTCAAACTCCTGACCTCAGGTGATCTGCCCTCCTTGGCCTCCCAAAGTGCTGGGATTACAGGTGTGAGCCACTGTGCCCAGCCAAAATGCAGCATACTCTTAACCCAAAGCAGGCAGAAACATCCTCTGTGTTGGGCACCATGACACTGATAATTTCAGGAGGTAAGGGGAAGGGAGGGAGACATGGGGCATTTAGGAGACGGGTCTCCTTTCCTATTCCCTTAGGAGTACTCAGCTGTGAAGTCCCTGGAAGTCATTGTCCGGGCCAACATCACAGTGAAGTCCTCCATAAAGAACTTGATGCTCCGAGATGCCTCCATAGTGGTGAGCTGCAGGGCTAGGGGATGGGTGGGGAGGACTCTTTTCTTTCCTGCTCCCTCCAGCTCGTGTTCCATTGACCTCTTGCTCCATTGACCCCTTGCTCCCCAGATCCCGGTGATGGTATACTTGGACCCCATGGCTGTGGTGGCAGAAGGAGTGCCCTGGTGGGTCATCCTCCTGGCTGTACTGGCTGGGCTGCTGGTGCTAGCACTGCTGGTGCTGCTCTTGTGGAAGGTGAGGCTTGGAGAGGGTGGGGCTGATGGTGGTGGACTTCCTGGTCGGGTGGGCAGCCTTTTGTACTGTGGTTCTGTCACCCACCCATACACTCATGTATTCAGCAAATCTGCACTGAACACTTACCCTGCATGTCTCAGGAACTCTATTAGTCCCTGGATGTTTCAAAGATAAATCAGATGCAGGCTGGGTGCAGTGGCTCATGCCTGGAATTCCAGCACTGTGGGAGGCCTAGGCGGGTGGATCACTTGAAGTCAGGAGTTTGAGACCAGCCTGGACAACATGGTGAAACTCCATCTCTACTAAAAATACAAAATTAGCCGGGTGTGGTGGTGTGTGCCTGTAGATCGAGCTACTTGGGAGGCTGAGGCAGGAGAATCGATTGAACTCAAAAGGTGGGGTTGCAGTGAGCCAAGATGGCACCATTGCACTCCAGCCTGGGTGACAGAGCGAGACTCCATCTCAAAAAAAAAAAAAAAAAAAAAAAAAAATTCAGATGCAGACCTCATTAGGGATTTTATAGTCTAGTGGGGTAGGAGTGGTGAGCCTGTAGTCAAGGACAAGGCAGAAAGTGTTGAGTTGAGAAAAGGCAGTGGGAGTTTAGAGGGAAACAAGCTTGAGAGGAGGTAGCACTGAAACCAGTCCTTAGAGGAAGGTTGGGTGGTAGGGTCAGGATGTAAGAATATGAGGTAGGTGGGGTCTAGCAGGACCATGGCAGGCAAAGTCATGGAGGCAGAGAAGTGTGATCTGACTTAACTAGAATGTGGCAGTGAAAACTGGAAAGGTAAGTGTGGCCAAGAAGGCCAACAAGCGTGGAGAACAGCCTCCAGGGAACTGCCCTCAGGGCGGAACTCGGAGCTTCCCCATACCAGGCTTTGCACGGAAGTATTCTTGTACACCCAGAGCTGTATACAGAATCATATTATCATCCAGGGCTCAACGTAAAAGTATGCACATGCACATGTCAGTACAAGGAATCACATACATCACCAGGGATCATATGCTGAGCCATCTGCCACATCTGGGGCTGTGTTCAGAACCATACATGTCCTTGGGGCTCTGGAGAACTGCCCCTGCCTGCACCTGCTCTTTGGGACCAATCACAGACTAAGCCACCCTTTGGCAAGTGTGAGTCATCAGTAGACCAGGCTCTGGAGTGGCATCCAAGCTGTTGGGGACCTTCCCAGTCTTAGGGGAGATTGATGCCTCTCTGAAACTGGCCCCAGGATGCTTGCTCCCTGCTTCCATGGAAGGAAGACAGAGCAGAGATAGAGGCTCCCGTCCTTCCTCAATCTTTCCCTCCTCTGCCTCCTCTGCCCTGCTTCTCCCTCGACATCCCAGTGTGGCTTCTTCCATCGGAGCAGTCAGAACTCACCTTTTCCCACCAACTATCACCGGGCCTGTCTGGCTGTGCAGCCTTCAGCCATGGAAGTTGGGGGTCCAGGGACTGTGGGGTAACTGTTGTGTGTGTGCATGTGTATATATGTGTGTGGGTATGTATGTGTGTGAATATAAGGAGAATTCCCAGCACTCAGGGGATCAGGAATGTTCAGGGTGAAAAATGAGATTGCATGAGAGTGATGTGAGGTGAGAGGTAATTAGAAGGGTGCAGATATAAGGGTAAGTCTACACAGCCTGAGGCGTGCACAAAGGGTTGGTGGGCTCATGGGGTGTGCATGTGGGTGTGGGGAGGTCGCATGCATGCTTTTTTCTAGGGGCATGAGTGTGCAAGGAGATGAATGTGTAAGGAGATGCCATGCAGTCTGAGCATGTAGGAGTCTTGGGCCTCTGAGTGTGAGTGTGCAGGGGCACATTCCCACCCTGGTGTGTAAGGGCCAGCATGGTCCTGATTTAGGGTGGGGCTAGACTACTGTATTGATGGACAAGAGGGCGTTGCTGTAAGGGGCATGCTGCCCAAGGTACAAGTACACAGGGTGCATGTTTATGGGGCTTGAGAGGCATCATTCTAGAGATGCAGGGGACTAGGAAGCCATTTTCTTCCTCAGGTCTTGTTTGTGTTCTGGGGGACACTACTGGGTCTCTTAAGAAGCTAGAGTGGGTAGAAATCTTGAGTCAGGTCCTGATGCTCCACCCTCAAGGCCCTCTTTCAGGGGCCAAGGGAGATGCCCTTGGTCCTGCCTCTTGGATGCCTTCCTGGTCTCCCTCTTGCTGTGAATGAGAACCTGGGGACCCGGCACTGATGGGAGCACCATGGGTGTTGCCCACCGCACCACATGCTGTTCAGCCTGTTTCCTTTCTGCCGCAGCAGGGATGGTGAGGGTGAGGAGCTGTGCCGTGCTAGGCGTCTGCTCCAGGGACCACAGCTCTTCAGGCTCCTCATGGTCCGGCCTGGTGTCCTTACAGATGGGATTCTTCAAACGGGCGAAGCACCCCGAGGCCACCGTGCCCCAGTACCATGCGGTGAAGATTCCTCGGGAAGACCGACAGCAGTTCAAGGAGGAGAAGACGGGCACCATCCTGAGGAACAACTGGGGCAGCCCCCGGCGGGAGGGCCCGGATGCACACCCCATCCTGGCTGCCGATGGGCATCCTGAGCTGGGCCCCGATGGGCATGCGGGGCCAGGCACTGCCTAGGTTCCCATGTCCCAGCCTGGCCTGTGGCTACCCTCCTCCCCTTCCCCAGGGATGGCTCTTTGGGATGAAGAGGGTAGAGTGGGCTGCTGGTGTCGCATCAAGATTTGGCAGGATCGGCTTCCTCAGGGGCACAGACCTCCCCCACCCACAAGAACTCCTCCCACCCAACTTCCCCTTAGAGTGCTGTGAGATGAGAGAGGGTAAATCAGGGATAGGGCCATGGGGTAGGGTGAGAAGGGCAGGGGTGTCCTCATGCAAAGGTGGGGAGAAGGGATCCTAATCCCTTCCTCTCCCATTCACTCTGTGTAATAGGACCCCAAGGACCTGCCTCCCCAGAAGTGCCTTAGCCTAGAGGGTTGGGGAGGAGGTTGTGTCACTGACTCAGGGGCTCCTCTTCTCTAGTTTCTCCTCTCATCTGACCTTAATTTGCTGCATCAGTCTAGTGGTTTTGTGGTTTTGTCTATTTATTAAAAAATATTTGAGAACAAAACCTCTGCCTCTTAGAGTCTTGCTCCCTCATCCCCAGCGTCTCTGATTCTCCCTGGCGCCCCCAGCTCAGGATGAAGGTGGTAGGGGGAAGAGAGAGTCAGGGGGGCTTGGCAGGGATGCAAGCACCATGACTTTCGTGACCAGTTCCTAGAGACACATGGGTGTCGCCTCAGGAGGACAGCAAGGGGAGCTTTACCATGGGAACAAAGGAAAGGGCCAACGTCGGGAGGCAAACATTGGGAGACTAGTCCAGAAACTTGCAGTTAAGGATACAACAGGGTACAAATGTTTACTCCCTGTGGTCAGGGTAGAAGTAGACTTTATCACTGTCAAAGGAGGGATTGAAGTTAGAGACTGCCCTGGCAGAGGTTGGGGAGACAGGGACTAGGAGATGGGACAGGAATGGCTTTTCTCATTCTGCTAGGTCCCTCTCAGTGGAAGATACGTAGGCTGGTGGGTGACTTGTTCTAATTGGAGGCTGGGGAAGGAGCAAATGAGTGCCTTGGGGCTTGGGAAAAGTTATTTGACAGCCTTTCCCATGATGTGGGGCCCAACAGGTAGCCACTTGAAGAGAGGGGGCTGTCGTTCCATTTGGACTTCGGAGAACTGGGCATTCTCAAGATCCTTCCAGGTCTCTCTGGTGAGGCAGCAGCCATCCCCAATGTGTTTCCAGGTGGGCTCTAAAACTTGCTGCCACATGAAGGCCCAGCTTCCATGTGGTTCCGTCACATGCTCCCAGAAAAAGAGCACACCTCCCTGGGAGGGAGGAGAGAGTTAGTGTCACTTGGCTCCATTCTGACCCTGCTCCCTATCGCGCTGATCAAGACAGTCAAACTTCTTGGTGAAATGGGAGCTGCTGGTCTGAGAGTTCGTGGAGCAAACTGTTGTGCCCCTGACCTTTTCTGCATCCCCTGCTACCACCTTCAAAGTGCATGTAAAGAACCTCATAACTGTAGGGACATGGCTGGTGGGAGATCTTTAAAGGCTGACCAGAATAGCCCAGGGCAGGCAGAAGGGGAAATTGAGAAACAGGAGTGGAGGGCCCATTGTATTCTTTTTTTTTTGAGATGGAGTCTCAGTCTGTTGCCCAGGCTGGAGTACAATGGCGTGATCTCGGCTCACTGTGACCTCCACCTCCTGGGTTCAAGTGATAATCCTGCCTCAGCCTCCCAAGGAGCTGGGATTACAGGCATGAGACACTACGCCTGGCTAATTTTTGTATTTTTCAGTAGAGACAGGGTTTCACCATGTTGGCTAGGCTGGTCTCAAACTCCTGGCCTCAAGAGATCTGCTTGCCTCACCTCCCAATGTGCTGGATTACAGGCGTGAGCCACCTCGCCCAGCTGGGCTCATTGTATTCTGAGATACAGTGAGAGAGATACTCTCTCATGAGACCCAGATGCATATACAAACCGCTTCCTGGACATCGCTGTGAACATCCCAGGGAAACCTCAGGCCCAACTCTTGACTGAAGCTGGGGTTCCTCAAGCTCCTCGCCTCACTATACTCTCCCTAGGTGATCTCAAACCTAGTAAGTCCAAAAACAGCTTTCTTCCATCTCAGTAAATGGCACTTTCATCGGCTCTCCCCTCAGTTGCTCATGCTAGAAACCTGGAAACTATCCTGAACGTTCTCTCGACAATCTGATGAATTCTACTCTACTTCCCCTACTATCTTTATCTAGAACACTCTTTTATTTTCCCCACCCTGTCACTCTGCTTAATCCCTCATATCTCTTTTTTTATTTTTTATTTTGAGACAGGGCCTCACTCTGTGGCCCAGGCTGGAGTGCAGTGGTGTGATCATAGTTCACTATAATTAGAACTCTTGGGCTCCAGTGATCCTCCCACCTCAGCCTCCTGAGTAGCTGGGACTACAGGCATGCACCATCACACCTGGCTAGCTTTTGTATTATTATTATTTTTTTTGTAGAGACGGCGTCTCACTATGTTGCTTTGGCTGGTCTCGAACTCCTGGGCTCAAGTCATCCTCTTGCTTCGGCCTCCCAAGCACAGATCTCGATTTAAACTTCAGTCACTTAGGTGTCCTCCCTGCTCCCCTCCCTGTCCCACGGTGGTAGGTGATTCTCCTGTTGCTTCCACAGCACCCAATTTTTCCCTGTCGTGGCACTGGTCATGTCTCCTATTCACCAGCAGGTAGGGATGGATGGGGTGTCTAATGTGCTACTTACTACCTCAGACGCCCCATTCTGGGAGCCGAACCCTGGGGCGGCTGATGCTGCGTTTGCCTGCCTCACACCCATCTCCTTCCCACTCTGCTTACCGGCCTCAGTACTCTCTTGACCTCCTGCAGGACCTTCCTCGGGCTCTGCACAGAGCACAGCACCAGGGTGCAGACCACCACATCCATGGAGCCATCAGCCAGCTGTCTCATGTCCTCTCCAGGAGCCACCACAAACCGTTGGTACTGGAGGTGCCTGTTCTCAGCCATGCTCTTTGTCAGGAACTTCTCAAAGTGGGGATTTGGGTCTAGGCAGGTAACCCTGCAGCCCGGTGGGTAGAACTGAAAGTTGGCTCCGGTTCCGCAGCCCAGCTCCAGCAGGTCCACCTTCCCGGAGGCTCCTGTAAGCCCCTTTATCTGGCTGAAGAGCTCCCGTTTCTTGCCCTCCATCTTGCGGTTGCTCTTGGCAGTCAGCACAGCCATCAGGTAGGGGAAGTAGGTTTTGCACAGGGGCTGCCAGCAGCCCAGCAGAGCCATGAGGTGCAGGGGCAGGGTAAGAAGCAGCACCAACAGCTGCAGGAGTGGGACCAGGACGTCCATGGCAGACCAGCTCTGAGCTGTGCTTCCGCTGGGGCACTGGCTTTTTCCTTGCTCAGCCCCTGCAGGCACTGGCGTCCCCTCCCGCTGTGATAGGACTTTGCTCCTTGTCTCCTACTTGACAATTTCCTATTTGCCAGGGTTGAGTGGGTGTATGGAATTCCTCCAGAGGGCGCAGGTCCCACAGCCCCACAGGCTCTTCAATGACTTTTATGCGGGCGGAGGGACAGATGGTACCCATGTTCCTGGGTTCTGGGGCACTGCGCCCAGCTGAAGGGGGGCAGGGATTGCTGAGTCATCTCAGAGGGAGTGGGAGGGGGTGAGGGGATAAATTGCAGATGACAGACTCATGGCGGGAGAGGCGGGGGGGCGCTGGCAGGGCGTTGGGGGTGGGTAGTAGGGAATGCTGGGGACAGAGTTGACTCATGGGACATGTCCTGGCCTCATTCCGTCCTCAGGTCCGGCACTTCAGAGGGGCCATAGGAAAGGAAGGGTGCTCTTGGCAGAGGAAAAAGTAGGTGTACAGGACAGAGACAGCATGCCCTCTCCTGGAAAGGGTGAGAAGTTTAGTTCTGTGGGGAATGGGATGAGTTGGAGAAATAGGGGGAAGGGAGGTCAGAGAGTAGCCACTTTTTAGAGATCCTTCCCTTCCTCCCTCCCTCCCTTCCTCCCTTCTTTCCTTCTTTCCTTTTTTTGAGACAGGGTCTCTGAAGCCCAGGCTGGGGTGCAGTGGCGGCAGTCTCGGCTCACGGCAACCTCAATCTCCCTAGGCTCAAGTGATCCTCCCACATCAGCCTCCGAGTTTCTGGGACTACAAGTGCACACCACCGAGCCCGGCTTTTTTTTTTTTTTTTTCCTTTTTAGAGACAGGGTTTCACCCTGTTGCCCAGGTTGGTCTTGAACTTCTGGGCTCAGGTGATTCATCTACCTCGACCTCCCAAAGTGCTGGGATTACAGTTGTGAGCCACTGGACCGGGCTGAGAAGAATTCTTTTTACAAAGCATTATTAAACAATTTTTTTTTGGAAGAGGCAGTACATTTACTCGGTACAAAATTAAAAAGATACTAAAGAGATTACAGGGGAAATTCTCTCCTCTACTCCTGTGTCCCAACCACTCAGATCTCCTCTCTGGAGGCACTAAATGCCAATTTCTTGTGACTCCTTCCAGAGATGACCTGTGAATGAGCAGGGAGCACACACACCACGTGTTTAGATCCATGTACATATAATATATGTATCCATATTCCCTTTTCTTTTACAAATGGTAGTATATTGTACACAGTCTTGTATACCTTGCTTCCCCCCCCTTCTTAACAATGTATTGGATTTAGTAGATAGTAGCAAATGGTTTTCCAAAGTGATTGTACCCATTTACATCAGCAATATTTGGTTTTATGTGTCTTTTATGTGTTCATATTATTATTGATGAATAGATTCCTATTTTATTCACTGATTTGTAACCTAATACCCTATTTATTTATTTACAGTTTCTTTGAGGTATAATATATATAAGAAGATTTACATACTTACAGTATATAATTAGATTAGTTTTGACACAGTATATACCTGGGAAACCATTACCACAGTCGAGATAATGAACATGTCTATGTGTTAGGCTTTTGCATTGCTGTAAAGAAATATCTAAGGCTGGTTAATTTATAAAGAAAAAAAGTTTACTTGGTTCATAGTTCTGCAGGCTGCGCAGGAAGCATGGCACCAACATCTGCTTGGCCTCTGGTGAGGATCTCGGGAGCTTACAATCATGGTGGAAGATGAAGGGGAGCAGTGTATCACATGGCGAGAGAGGGAGCAAGAGAGACCTTGTGTGAACTACCAGAGCGAGAACTTGCTCATCACCAAGGGGATGGCACTGAGCCACTGATGAGGGATGGGACCTCACGAGCCAAACATCTCCCACCAGGCCCTGCCTCTGAAATTGAGGATTACATTTCAGCATGAGATTTGGAGGGAACAAACATCCAAACTATATCAGTTTCCTTGTGCCTCTTTGTAATCCATTCTCCCCTCTTTCATCCCCATTTTCAGATAACCACTGATCTGCTCTCTGTCAGTACAGATTAATCTCTCCTCTCCTCCCCTCCCCTCCCCTACCCTCCCCTCTCCTCTCCTCTTGACAGAGTCTCACTCTGTGGCCCAGGCTGGAGTGCAGTGGCGTGATCTTGGCTCATTGCAACCTCCGCTTCCCAGGTTCAAGTGGTTCT